AATATATTTAATTATTTTTAAAAATACACTTAATTGTTTTTAAAAATACTTTTATTAATTATTTATTATCAAATAATAATTATTAATTATTATATAATTAAACAATTATATCAATCATAATCCACTATTGATTATCCATTACTCACTTTCTACTTTTTCACTTTCATTATTTACCACGTATTAGACACTACCTTTTTTTTTGTTACTCCCTACCCACCATACATTAGATTTTAACCACTGTATAACGTGGAAATCAATGAGAAGAGAAACCCGTTCTATTTATAGAGGTTTCAATTCATGATGCCTATGTCTTATCAGCGCTGCTTTTTTTTTTTTCTTTTTCTTTTTTGATTAAGAATTGTATTCGCTACTTTCAAACTCCCTTTGCCTTAGGGGTGACCAATACAATCTTCCCTTTACGAAAACTTAAAAGTTTAAGAAGTCCATCAAGTCTACTGCCATCCATCATTCTAAATGTCTCTGTCATTTCTTGTGTTTTTGCTTTGGGATCATCGTTACATCGTTTCTTTGAGTTAATAAGAAGAAATTCTTCACAAAAAGAATCTTCAGCTGATGAGGTATTTTAATTTGGAGTTTTTAATATTGTTTTTAATTAAGTAAATCTGACACAACTTACTTCAAAAAATTTCTTCTTCTGTTTCATTTTAATAGAAGTCTAGTTTTAAATTTATGAATTTTTTTATCAGCAGAAGCAGAATTTTTCATTTATAATACTTTTAATCCTTTACAGAATTACTTACAAACAACATTCTCACTGGGCACCCAAATCTCAAATTATATCTCACCGCACACACATACTTGTACTGGCGCCTATTAATTTAAGGCATGCCAAGACCAGTACACACTCAATATATGTAGGAATTAATGGTGCAGTTACCTTCGCCTAGTTCCGTCACATTGGCCCTCTAATGCAATTTCTGCTTTTGTCTATCTTGGTAACCTCTTCTGTTGGTCGTTCCCGAAGCACAGATAGATCATATGGCACAACAAATTATATGCTGATTCGTTTTGTAGACTAAAATTATTAACAGTTAAAAATTGTGAAAATTATATATTTAGTTTTCTTAATTATATTTAAGAAATATTATCTATACACAATAGGATAATTGGAACTATATATATATTTTTATTTTATTTTGATTAAGAGTTGTATTCGCTACTTTCAAACTCTCTTTGGCTTAGGGGTGACCAATACAATCTTCCCTTGAACAACACTTAAACCAACTTGAAGAACTATACTCCAAGTTTAAGAAGTCCATCAAGGACTGAATCCCAAGTCCAAAACACTGAGGGAACCATTTTACATTTTTTGATAAAAAGATAAAATTAATTTCTCATTATTTATAATTCTGCGAAGCAGTGTATTAAATAATGACTGTTCAATTTTGTATATATTAAAAAAACTAGATAAATATAATACTCCTCTTTAATTTATAATGCCCCTTTTTAATTTGCATTACTTTTATTTTAGTCGTACCTAAACTCTACGGCTTCTAACAGGATATCATCCTATTTTTATCTATGACCGAAATCATGAAGTTTAATCAAAAGAAGAATTGTACGTTGTGCAGGTTGCATTTCCGAACCTAGAGGAGTTACAATTATCTTGGATTAATGTTAACACCATATGGCACGTTTCAATATCATCTTCTCATGTTGCAAAACTGAATAAGTTGATCATTGAGGGCTGTGATAATTTGGAATATCTATTCACATCTTCTGTGGCTAGAGATCTGGTAATGCTTGAACACCTTACAATAGGGGGATGCAAGAAGATGGGAAGGGTTCTTTTTATAGAGAATGTAGAAGAAAATGGGAATTTGATTTTCCCTCAACTGAGGATTCTAACGATAAAAGGCCTTCCAAAACTAGAAAGATTCTGCCACGGCAATTACATCAAATTCCCTTGCCTTTCGCAACTTTTGATCATGAGCTGCCCTGTATTAAAGACGTTCATCTCATCAAGCTCTAGTTTTGACACTAGTACACTTCCTCTATTTGACGCAAAGGTAATTTCTTCTTTCTGCTTTTTAGATATGTCAATTACTTTAAATGATTGTGGCTTGAAATTCTTCCACTTCCTCACTTAAAAATTAAAATAAGATTACTCAATTTAAGAAAATTGATTGATTGCCAAAATTATATTAAACTGTCCCAAATGTCTCTGCACGTCATTTCCCTTGTTTTTGCTTCTATATGTTGTAGTTTCATCGCATAATCTTTTACATTTTTTAAAATCTAGATTCCAGAAATCGTTTATTAAATTATCCCTCTGATTATGTTTTCTTGTTAATGCAATTGGGTAAATTCTTCAGGTGGCCTTCCCTAGTTTAGAGAAAATAGTAATTTACTCTATGCAGAGCTTGAACAAGATATGGCAAGATCAACTTGATGCAGATTCTTTTTGCCAACTAAATTTCCTTCATGTAAGTTCATGCGAAAAGCTGTTGAACATTTTCCCGTTAACCATGTTGGAAAGGCTTTGGAAACTAAACAAGCTGGAGATATGGAATTGCAATGCGCTAGAAGAGATAGTCGATTCACAAGGGCTTGGTGCTATCCAAACACAATCTCAAATAACCACTGAGCCAACTGTGGTAGAAACTTCCATTAAGTTAGTCTTGCCAAAATTGACACACCTTGATCTTCAATGGCTACCCAAACTGAAGGGTTTCTATTGTCAAATGGTTGATACTGAATGGCCATCATTGAAAAAATTGGAGGTGCATGGATGTGACCAAGTGCAGATATTTGCTTCAGAATTTTCGAGCTTCCAAAGAACTAATGGAGATGACCAAATTGGAATTGGGATCAACTGTCCTCTTTTCTCAGTTAACAAGGTAAGAGCTGTAAGTATATTCATAGAAGCGTGTATCTGTAGATATGCAGTTGGTTTCAAGTAAAGGCTTTATCTTGGCTTAGTAACATCTTCAAATTGAGGTAATCAAGTGCATAATATATATATATATATATAATGTTTAAAAAATCATCATAATGATAATTAACTCATCATAGTTGG